TTACAACTGAGATATTTTAAAATCGCAAATAAATACATTGTGAAATTATTAATATATGAAGAAATATGGTCTGTCACTTTAAGAATTTTAGACTGAAATATATCCCGATTTTTGACAGTTTTGATCTGTATCTCTAGACCCCATAGAACATGCGTTTCATAGCAATTTTTACTACATGTAATTACAACAAGTTTTTGTTGTGTTGCGGAAGCAGTTTAAATGGTTTTCCTCCACATTGACCCCCCCCCCCCTGCAGCCTGACGGCCTCAGCGTGGCCAGGGGGTGGCAACGCTTAGTGTAATCACTAAGTGGCTAACGGTCAGTCAAACCAATAAAAATTATTTTAAAAATATATATTCTGTTGAAAAGAATGTGATAATTATTGTAACCCGTTTTGTAAAAAAGTTTGTCTCCATATACATGCAATTTAAGGTGAATTGTATAGTAGAATATCAATAAAGCTGTCCTTTCAACAAGAACGAAGTCATGTAGCAGTTACATTTAAAGTGTTGATTATGGATAAAAACAACGTAATGTTGTCAGCACCTTCGTAAAACAATATTACAATTTTCAACTGTATTACAGAACTGTTTGTTACTATTTTAAAACTAATATTAAATAATATTTACTCAAAATTGACCGTTATCGACAAAAAAAAGATTTCATTTAGAATACGTAAAATTTCAAACGGTAATAAAATGTTTTGTAGCACATTTAACAATTTGCCTTAAAGTTATATAATTCCCTTTGAGCAATAAAATATAGTTTATCATTATCAAATATTAATACAATTGACCTTTCCAATAAAGTAGGTCAAATATATAAGTAACCTTAAATTAAATATTTACCTTTTAGTAAGATGGATGAACTTATATCAGTGAAAAAATGACTTTAACTTCTTCTATTAATTGTGATTATTATGTACACTAATATTAAAATTGCAGAAAAAGTGAGTGGCTTTTAATGAAATATCAAGAAAATAAATGTTTCAAATAAAGTATCGCAAATGTATAAGTAACCTAAAATTAAGCGATATTTATCCAGGATGAACTTTATCAGCGGAACGAAAATGACAATTTGCAACTTTATAACAGAAAGGGTTGTGTGGAAAATTCCAAATTATTATCAACTGTCAGCACGTTTTGTATGTAATCAGAAACGATATGTTTGTCATTATATAATGAATGATGCTTAATTTGATGAAATATCAATAATAGTATTTTTCCAATAAAGAAGGTCAAATGTATGAGTTTTCCAAATTTTAATAACGTTTCTGAAGATGAACTTATATTAGTGGGTAAAATTGATTTTTGACTCCTATTAAAAATTTATTACAATTTGCAACAATTTTACAAGACGGGTTGTGCGGAAAATTTCAAAATGTAATACACTTTTTAACCCGTTTTGTAATAAATGTTACAATTTACCAGAGAATAATATGTTTGTCATTATATAATGAAATAATGCTTTTCTCATGAAATATTAATGATAGTAACTTTTGCAATAAAGTAGGTCACAAGTATGTGTTACTTTTGCAATAAAGTAGGTCACCTTCATAGGTTACTTTAAATTGAATGATATTTCTAAAGATGAACTTATATTAGTTGGGAAAATTGACTTTTGACTTCAATTGATAGTTTATTACAATTTGCAACTTTATTACAAAACGGGTTGTGTGGAAAATTTCAAATTGTAATAAACTTTTTAACCCGTTTTGTAATAAATGTTACAATTTGCATCAGAAATGATATGTTTGTCATTATTTACTGAAATAATGCTTATTTTCATGAAATATTGATAATAGTTACTTTTGCAATAAAGTAGGTCACATGTATGTGTTACTTAAAATTATATGATATTTCTGAAGATAAACTTATATTAGTGAGTAAAATTGACTTTTGACTTCTATTGATAGTTTATTACAATTTGCAACTTTATTACAAAACGGGTTGTGCGGAAAATTTCAAATTTTAATAAACTTTTCAACCCGTTTTGTAATAAATGTTACAATTTGCATCAGAAATGATATATTTGTCATTATTTACTGAAATAATGCTTATTTTAATGAAATATTAATAATAGTAACTTTAGCAATAAAGTAGGTCACATGTATGTGGTACTTAAATTTATATGATATTTCTGAAGATGAACTTATATTAGTGGGTAAAATTGACTTTTGACTTCTCTTGATAGTTTATTACAATTTGCAACTTTATTTCAAAACGGGTTGTGCGGAAAATTTCAAATTTTAATAAACTTTTTAACCCGTTTTGTAATAAATGTTACAATTTGCATCAGAAATTATATATTTGTCATTATTTACTGAAATAATGCTTATTTTAATGAAATATTAATAATAGTAACTTTAGCAATAAAATAGGTCACATGTATGTGTCACTTAAAATTATATGATATTTCTTAAGATGAACTTATATTAGTGGGTAAAATTGACTTTTGTCTTCTATTGATAGTTTATTACAATTTGCAACTTTATTACAAAACGGGTTGTGCGGAAAATTTCAAATTGTAATATTAAACTTTTCAACCCGTTTTGTAATAACTGTTACAATTTGCAACTTTATTACAAAACGGGTTGTAACATACGGTACTACAAAACTCTAGGCTGCCTTCGATTGCCCAACCCGTGTAAGTAGTGTCGATACCGGAAAAGCTCATATGCGCATGCGTACCTTTAATAGCAATCGAACAAGCACGAGTTGATCGGGTTGTAAACAAATATGGCTGCGCCCAGGGAATTATTTGCACCTTTGGGCGGAGGAAATAATGCTTGAATTACTTAAACTATTTTATATAAATAAATAAAGTAAAGATAAATTCATGGCTATATTAGATTCTGTTAACAAACAAAAGCAGAAAAACTATAAAAATCCTCTCATTTACTCCTTTTCAACGTTGTTGGCCGCCATTTTAACACTTGTAACCCAGCTGATAGGCAGTGTCCAACCCGCGTAACTCAGGTACGCAAAACTGATGACGTAATACTCAACTCTACCTTGTTCGATTGTTACCCGTGTCGAAAGTGTTAAACCCGCGTTAGCAATCGAAGGCAGCCCTAAAGTTTGTGCATCCCGATGTGAATGGATTGTCTTTATTTTCAGTTATACAAACTGTGCGTTCATTTTATTACCATCATACCACAACCAAAAATTGCTTTCAGAAAAACTCGCTTCGGAGCATAATTTATCATTTTGCTTGGATTTCTCAGTTGTTTCAGCATTCGCCGATTGATTTGGTTGGGAAACCGCATTTGGTATAGGCGCAGAATTGTTTACGGTAGATTCTGTCGGCCCATAAACGTTAACATTGTCTTTATTGAAGAATGAAGTCAATCTTCACTGCTTTTTTTCGAAGAAGACATTTGTGAATTTACCCGGATAATGACGTCAGAATCTGAAGCGTCTGAGCGCTTTTAACGTCTAATATTCACTTAAGCGTCTAAGATAAATCATGTGACCGATCAGCTGAAAAAAATTCATGCTATTTATAGAAAAAAATATATACAACGATGCTCGCAAAAATATGCGTCACGGAAAACGCACGCTATGATATTACCGCGTCAAATGCAAAAGTACTGTGTAAAAACGCAGAAAAAGCTTTCTAGAGAAAACACTGCATGTACTGATGTAATTAAGTGAATATGAATGAAACCAAATAAAGATTGATACTAAGTCCTTATATATCCAAGTTATTTCATAAGAGGTCATTACCTCAAATAATTTCATCAGCAAACAGCAGGTCATTCACATGTATGAAAGAAATTCCAACATGTGTTGTTTCCCTTTCATTAAACTATAATTTGAAGAAATGCCATGGTCTGTGGTATCTCAGCCTTAGCAGTCCCTAAAAGGGGCCAATCAAAAAATATGAGCAATTTTTATAAAAGATTACTATATGAATGCTAATAACAAAGTTTGGTGACCATCCATCAAAAAGTTCTGTAGAAAAAGCTGTCTAAAGGTTTATATTATTTTTAGCTCCTTTGACCCCTAAAAGGGGCCTATCAAATTACTATGAGCAAATTTGATAAAAGACTACCTAGGAATGCCAGAGACAAAGTTTGGTGATCATCCATCAATTGGTTCTGTAGAAGAAGATGTCTAAAGGATTTTAAATTTTTAGGTCTAGAGACCCCTAAAAGGGGCCAATCAAATTAATATGAGCAAATTTGATAAAAAAAACTACCCAAGAATGCTACAGACAAAGTTTGGTGAGTATCCATCAATTTGTTCTCTAGATATAGATGTTTAAAGTAATTTCTATTTTTAGCTTTAGCAGCCCCTAAAAGGGGCCAATCAAATTAATATGAGCAAACTTGATAAAAGACTACTTAAGAATGATAGAGAAAAAGTTTGGTGATCATCCATCCATTAGTTCTGTAGAAGAAGATGTCTAAATGTTTTTTCTATTTTTAGCCATATTGACCCCTAAAAGGGGCCAATCAAATTAATATGAGCAAACTTGATACAAGACTACCCAAGAATACTGCAGACGAAGTTTGGTGATCATCCATCAATTAGTTCTGTAGTAGAAGATGTTTAAAGGTTTTTCTATTTTTAGTTCTGTTGACCCCTAAAAGGGGCCAATTGAAATGACATGAGCAAATTCAAGTGTGACTGTCACAAGAATGCTACAGACAAACTTTAAAGTAAATCTGTCCAGCGGTTTCAGAGAAGAAGATGATTGTTGACGCATGACGACGGACTTCGGAGTATCCCCCTTTGATACTAATAGCTTACCCTGAGCCTTCGGCTCTGGTGAGCTAATAATAATAATAATAATAATAATAATAAAATAATAATTTTATTATTATTATTATTATTATTATTAATTATTATTATTATTATTATTATAATTATTATTATTTTTATTATAAATAATAATAAATAAAATAAATATTAAAATAAATACTTAACCATTTTAATAAAAGTAATGATATTAATAATAGCAAATAATTATAATAGTAACGATAAAATATTTACCTGATAGTTTACATCCATGGATTTCGAATTGTAGACATGATTGATTTACCCCAATACTTCCATTTAATCGTAGCATTATAAAACGAGTTGTAACTGCATTTTGAAGAAAGAATGACAGGTACTGTTCAGACGTAAATGTGTCGACATCAGTAGTTAACTGTTAAAGGTATGAACTTTTCAATTAATATACTAAAGCAAACCATCACTGACATCAACGACAAAAACCTATATTGAAGGCTAATTACTACACATCATAACAATAATGATGATGCAATTACTATGATTTCAGAGATTATCTATGACTTCTGTAATTTACAACAATTATAGAATGGTTCGACATACTTACGTACATATTTAAGTACGAGAAACAATTAACAACAAAATTTAGCACTTGAAGTTTTTTTTTGTAAAACCAATAACATCTTGACCTAAATGACTAACAGTGGAAATATTTGATGAATTGCAATCCTAATTATATTTGTTGCTATGTAAACTGCTTTTGTACCATTCTTTCTTATATTTTGCTTGCCTCAATGATACATTTTTTGCATGAACTATCTCCGAAATTTTTGCCCAACTTCATTACCTTCAAGTCAGTTAAATTGTCCGTCTGATTTCCATATAAAAGATGAAAAGACTCCCAAATGTCATTTGAAAAAGTATGTACATCTTCTTTCATGAGGATTAAAGTCATCCCTTCAATTTTTGTTTTTGATTTCATATCAACCTAAAGTAACAAATATATATATAATGTTCTAACCATATGTTTAGCAATACATTATTGTAAAGTTTTACCATTTAATGCATCGACTTTATGTAAGAAAATATAATTTAATAGTAGCTTTGTCTTCAATGATTCAAACATGGACTTTCATTTACTGTTTAAATTGTGGAAAATAATCCAACATGTAGCTTTGCTAATCTTAAGAAAGCTGGCGGCATTATTTCATTGCAAAACAAAAAGATGTATTATTATGATTATTATGCTACGATACACAATTTAATTTATAAATCTACGCATTTTTGTTTCTGCTTCGTATAGTCCCAGCTTGGATGTAACGAAATGAACTTTTTTGAAAATACATTAATCTTGATTAATTGAATATGATTTTCAAACCATAATCCAAGGATTTGCATCCATCGTTTTGTCAATGCACCAACCAGTAGAGAAAGGCCGTGCTAAGAACGGTGGGTTGCGTTTTGAGAATGATGAGGCTAATATTTGGTCATTTTGAATGCTCCCGTCTCTCATTCCAAGATCTTCATTACACATTTCTCCATCCACTGTCAATATGAATATTGTGTCCATGTGATAAAATATAAAATCCCATTTACATTATCAAATCATTATGTCTTGTGCTTGTAAATGAAGGACGCATTGTCCGCCAAGTAGTTATTAAGATTTGATACAATGCATGAATAATAGACGATAGTCAATAAAAATAACTGAGAATCGATTTGTATATGGTTTTAACCGGTTGACACACCTTTATTTTGACACACAGCTACTTTATCCTTTCCCGAGTTCCAAAATTTTGAAGTAACGTTTTGTTCTATGCATGTAAATATGCTATCATTTTTAAAACAATAATAAAGTAAAAAGGAAGAACTTTTTGTCATGTATTAAAATTGTCTGTTTGCAGGAGGAATGAGAACGGGTTATGTATGCAATCAAAGAACACAGTGTCCTGTAACATATGGTAGTCTATTCAGGTTGCAGATGCAACATTGTTAAACGTGAAAAATGATTGTGATTTTAAGCGTGAGAAAAAATAACACACAGGGTAAACACAAACGTTTGTTTTGATGTAACATGTTTAATACTTTTTAACAAAAGGAAGTACTAAAATTAATTTTCTTAAAGTAATCTTTACAAGGAAATTGTTATGAATTTAGACTACTTACAGGATGCAATAGCAGTTGTGTATATCTCGAATGATTTTTTGTGTAACCATATTTTGGGATTTTCAAAGCGCAATAAAATATAACGGGCACGGAACTGACTGTAATAAAATGGTACATTTGATAAATATAATACTTACAAACATTACATGGTTGTTAATATGGCTAGTGCATATGTAACATACAAACCTGTGTATAATTAATGAGATGCGTACAATATAATACGTAGAAACAACAAGCTTCACACTTTGTTGTAAAGAAATGAATTTATGGCACAAACAATTAAATTTATTTGATTTTAGTCAGAACGTTTTATCTTATCACTGTATACCCAAAAACTTCTTTCCTTCAATTATGACCTTAATTGGCTTTTTCATCGTGTTCAAATTTGATAAATTGTATCTTTTCCTTCATCTTGTTCTGTTTTGTGATCAAAATATCTAACTGACACCTAAATGATTGTATGTGTTTAAGTGCAGTCGGCATGATTGTGACCAGCTCTGTCAATGATGTCGCACTGATATCATTATTATTATCATCATCATCATCATCATCATCATCATCATTATTATTATTATTATTATTATTATTATTATTATTATTATTATTCATGTATAAAATATTTTCTACAGCTCGTCAAAGACATATGTACGGGAGCTTGTATGTAGCTCCCTACATATGAACTAAGCTTGAACAAAAACGCCAATAATGACGTCATCCCACTATTTTTGTCAGTACACTTAACATACTGAGTCAGGCCTGAATGTGTAGGGTTTAAATAGAGTCGACGTTTAAATGCTTTGATAATTAAATACACCTATCGCCGATGATATTTTTTTCTGTAAATGCAAATGTGATGTTTCCTTTACATAGGGACCTGGAGAGATCATTCTTACATGGAGCATTTTTTAATGAATCAATATATATACATAAATCAAAAAATATAAACTAGTATTTGTTCGACTACGTTGATTTATAAATATTAATAATAGATATGTGATTGTAAGTAAAAAACAGTACCTGACAAAACTTAGTCTTTGATATCTAGGAATATTCATTGTAATAGAATAAATACACTTTAATCTTTTGTCAAATAGCAATTCCATTCTTTTTTCGTCGTAGAAGCATTCTGACACAATCGTCTGGAACGAAAAACTTCTTTGAATAAAAAATTAACCTTCATTTTGTATATAATCTTATTTAGAACGTACTGCACCACAAATGTGAATACAGGGAAAACATTTGAACACTATTCAAGTGACGAGATCTTCATGACCGAATTAACTTTTGATAAATATAGCGTTTTATGGTTGCGTTGCAATAAAATCTTTCAATGTCGTGACATATTCTATTCTTTATAAATGTTTCCAAGTAAGGAAGATATAAGTAAATGTAAGTAGTAGTTCTTTTTAATGTAAGGTATGACACTATCAGTAATCTGATGTCCTTAAGAGTGTTTGTGCGATCAATATCATACAAAACATTTATCTGAAAAGATTTAACTATGGAATTTTAAAGATCGTCTTTTAATAAAGGCAAACCAATATCATTTTAAAAGTTTATAATTTCTAAAATATTCTAAATATTTTAAAATTCGTTTATGCATTTACAGATGCGTAAATTCAATTACCTCACCTGATAAATGAAATCAGTGTAAACAATGAATATGCTAGACACCTTTGTTGATCGTCGCAGATCAAAGTAATAGAAAGCTTCTTTTACTTGATTTGGATTTACTGAAATACAAACTAAATTGATAATATATCATTTCTACAAATTATGATATCAAACTCGATTATATTATTTCAATCTTTTTCCCAAACGAAATAAAATGCAACAGATGAAAACTTTAAAGATAACAATAAAAAAAATTCAAACGATTCTACTTATACTTTTGTTTTGAAGAGCACTAAAGAGTTCATATTTAGCCTTTACCGAATGTGTGTTTAACTGCTAAGATATTTTCCTTAAAATTGTATTTTGAATTCAACTGTTTGCTGTCCTATATCGGAATGTTTCCATGTAAGATATTTAGCATTTGTGTACTTATTGTACTAATCACGCATGTTTTACATCAGTAATTTAAAGTCATACCACTGACATCCGAGTTAATTTGAAAATCAAAGTCCAACACCAGATCTGTAAAAACAATGGGTATAATAAATATTACTTTGTTTTATGTTATTTCATATTTAGAAATATGTCATGCTCTCTGATATTTTGCCAATAAAAGGCGTTCATAACATAATTGCAAGGTATAAAAATAGGAAATCAAAACGTGACGAAGACAGACTAAGATGTCAATGACCAGGCTGTCCAAAACACAATGTTTTTTTATCTTATCAGTTCACTAGAAAAAAGAAGCGTTCTCTCGTCGAAAGCACGGTTCATGGTCTTTAATAGTGCTCTGCTAATGTAAGGCAAACAACGAAAATAATACACAGAGTAATGGCACATCTGTATCGAACATTGTACATGTTATATCTTCTATAAAATGCATTTACAACGGTGTCCCTAAACTGACATCCTTGACACTTTTTCCGGACGAAGGCCAGTCTAAAATCAGTTAACCTAAATATACAGGGAAGAACTTTATATAAGAAGACTTTTCATTAGTCATTTTAAAATTACAAAGTGAAATCTGAAAATCTCGTTTGCCATCTAAAAATAAAATGTAAAGGATAATTCTTGTCTTTCTAAGATAGTTCTTAAATAAAAGGTAAAGGATCATTCTTGCCATTATAAAATAAGATATAAAGGATTGTTCTAAAAAAAATAGAACAGGATAGTTCTTTAGCTTTCTAGTTAAATTCCTCAGATATTTCAGTTTTGTTTAACTATACTTCCTCTCACAAAACATTTTACACTCCATGCAGGTCTCCTTACATTTTCAAGTGAACAGTTTATTTTAGGTAAGAACTCACTGAGTTTATTTTACATAAGATCTGACAACATAATGAGAATAATATCAGAAATTATCAGATACCCTAAGTTTAGAATGTTCAATAAATGTACTAAGAATTAACATATGCAAGTTAACCATTTTCATTCTGACATCTATTTATTAAAGATATTCTTGTTGTATTTCGTAATTACGAAAAAAGATTTCCCTGAAAACATATAATATTTCGCTAATATGAAACACCATTTTTTACAAAAGAAATGATATTTCGTAAAAAAGAAATAATACAAATTGACATTTCGCAAAACAAGAAAATAGTGGAGCGCGCTGTCTGTACTGACAAGTTACGAAATGAAATTATTCAAAGAAGTTTTTCGTTAATATTGTTTCGTTTTTACGAAATATTATCTCTTAAATACGAAATGTTATTTCGCTATAATACGTAACAAAAATGCGTCAAGGTGTCAGTTATGTTTCATCGTCTGAAAAACGAAGGATCTTCCCTTAAAGAATATCCGTATGAATATGAAGTAAATGTGCCTAAGTAACGTCACGTCTCGAAGAAAATCGATCTGGATGTATATATTTCTTCATATGAAAATTCCGTTTTTTTCCTATTAAGATTATTTTCAGGTATTTAATATATCAACGTGCCGAAGCATGCCTGCTTTCTAAGTGTAAAATACCAATCTATAGATGAAAATTTTCTATGAAGTATTCATAACTCAGCTAAAGCAGTAATTGTCAATGCAACAGTTAAAACGACTGGTTAAGGTTGTCTGCATAATGATTGATCTCCTTGACCAGCAAGCGCATCAATTTCAGACAACTTTTCAAACCCAACGCGTGACATTTGACACCAGAAATGATATGGAATTGCATGGCGGCACACAAACAAACCGATCGTAAGTCATATCGTTCTAGTTAATTCCCTTTTTATAAAACCCAATTTAAATGGGTTGAGGAAATGCAAAGTTCTTCCTTCCCCGGTACCAAAGTTTTAATCTGAAAAAGACGTATTTTGTTTTAACATTCGAGCTGCAATTCTGATGCGATGCAGCTGAAAATGGTGATTTGGCGAAACATTCATAATCAATGTCATTTTATGGTATCATTTGCTAAATAAAGGGATCACCTCCACGTCGTGTCTGTCCGTCCATCTGTCTGTCTATCACAAAACTCGTCTGGAAAACTCCTCAAAAACTACTTGAGCAATTTCATTCTACGTTTACGGAAATCATTAGTAGCAAATCCTATAGTGCATAACATTTGTATTTTTGGGTTCTTTGATCTTTGTAACTGTATTGACCCTTAACTGATAAGTAGGGTAATTCGCCATTGAGCCCAATTTGCCCTAAAGTCGAACAACTTTTACCAAAAGTTTCAATAGCAATCCGTTCTGTATGTCACGTAAAGACATCATTTTCGTGTTTTTTTAAATTTTCCGGTATTTTGAAAGAACCAGTCTAGCCGTCTCGGCGTCATCCATTCTCTCTCATGTGGACGCTTTTACCGGTAGTTTTGAAGTGTGCCAAGAAGCGGGAAATTTGAATTTTTGTTTGCCGTGAAAATTCCACAACTGTGAAAATTAGTAAAAAGAAAAAAAAGTTGTCGAACGTAAGCGTTATCATCAGTTATGACAGCATTCTCTTTGCTTTTTCATAAAAAATATATTTCAGATATCCATCAAAAATGCAAAATAATGTCTAATCTATTTAATATAGATGTTTACCCATGACACGAACAGGATCCGCCCTTGAGTCGTACAATTGTTCAGTCCCTGTGGCTCATTGAATTTATGATCAGGGAGGATTTTAATAATAGGAACGTGCTGGTTTCGATCCAACTAACAAACTTTTCATTATTAAACATCAGAAACGCCGAATCAAATGTTGCTATGTTGTTTTCTAATAATATAAATCTATGGACTAAAAGTATTTTAGCTCATTTTTGGGTAACAGCTTCAAGTCATAATAGTATCAACGCAGGTTTGCTTGACGGGTGTTTACATGTATAAGCACTCTTTCAGTTCATCCTCTCTGAAATTAAACTCGGCTTTATGATTTTGTTATCATTTCTTCTTATTGAAACTTTTATGAGAAACAGTCACTCTATTTAAATTGAAGAGTAAAGAGAAAAAAAGAAAAACGTTTTATAACAAAAGAAACTTAGATCGACTTTAACGTTTCAGATGCCAAAGTCGGAGGAAGCGTTAAGTAGCGCTTTTGAAGAAGTGAAGAACGGGACTTTAGGTCTCCGTGCAGCTGCTAAGAAGTACAATGTTCCCGTGACGACGCTGCACGACAGGTTATCTGGAAAAGTCCAGGCCGGTTCCAAATGGGGCAAGATATCCTTGCTTCCTAGGGAAAAGGAAGAGGAGCTAATAGCCTTCGCACTTAAAAGAGCTGAGCTTGGAATAGGCTTTTCTAAGCAATCATTTCTAAGATTTACCGGAATCTTTTGCAGCTTCTGAGGGAGTAATTTTCCCGAAAGGTATCGCTACCGAAAAGTGGTGGAGAGGCATTTTTCCGTAAGGGTCCCGGAAGTAACAACAGCTGGTAGGCATATGGCTATGACGAGGTTGCGTATTACACGCTATTTTTCTGCTTTAATGTCTCTGTTGGTAGAAAATAATTTGTTTGACAAGTGTCAGTACATCTGGAATATGGACGAAACTGGCTTGACTCTTTCACCAAAGCCTCCTAAAATCATTGCACATAAAGGTAGCATAAGTAATTCACGCTAAGTCATCCAACTCAAAGGAGCTGATTACCTTACTTGCCTGTGGTAATGCATCAGGAAGAGTGATACCGCCCCATGTTGTTATTCCCGGCAAGACCAAAAGAACTCTTTTGAGTTTTGACACCGCAAATGCTCCTGCTGGTAATGCCTTAATTTAGTACCCTTACCACGGCACTGTAAAAATCATTCCTGTTAAAAAAATACGTTTTGTATACCTCAAAATTAAAAAGCCAGTTAATCATTTTAGTTCAGCATATTAAATGCACAACGCTATATATTTGATTGTATGTGCGAAATTAAAATTTCCACTTCGATACATTTATAATAATAAACTTATTTTGTTCGGAAAGCGTCAGTTTAAATAGTAAAGTTTGTCCGAACTGCTTTTTTTTAAATAGAATTCAATGTTACAGGATAAATCGGTACCTCAAGTTCTTGTGCACATTACAAGACTTTTTCGGTTGAATGATTTTTGGCTGAGTCATGGCCATTTATTTATGGCCAGTGATTTTTGTGTCCCTGTAAAACAGTAGCTGCGACATTCCGCAATGTAGCGTCATACAACTTGCTTATCCAGGAGAGTTGTGGTTAATCGTCGGTATTTTCATGATCAAACAATTATGGCTGTGTTTATAATTTAAAAGTTTATACTTAATGCTTCTGTTTTACTTTAAATGAAATTTGATATAAATGTTACAAGAGTGAATAGTCAATACCACCGTTGAGTTTGAATGATTTTTTCTGTGAAAAAATCATAATTGTTTGGCATGTTAACTATTTATGTGTCGCCTGCTTCACAGTATCGTTTGGTGCATTTTCATACAAATTCATCGTCAGATTGTGTACCCTTTGACATATAGGGAGCACTCCTCTGTTGTTTGTTTGTCCGTCCGTCTCAAAACTTGTCCAGACAGCTCTTCAGTTACTTCAGTTTCAGTTTTACCCAAAATTTACTTCAATGATAAGTGCCTTTTCTAGTTGTACATATTGTTGGAATTTTTTTATGTCAGAGTTATGGCCCGTCAATGTTCTTTCAAAGTTTGTCAGGACTACTTCAGTTAACATACTTACCTAATTTTGGTATCAAATAAAACAAAGTTTGTATTTTATATTTAAATAATTGATGCAGAAGGATCATATCTATAGATGTATATTCACACATTGTTGTTAACAAAACAGAAGTTTAGTGGACAAGTACACAACTAGTTAGCATTAAAATAAGACGAGGTGAAAGCCGACTCTAATATAGATTTTGCAACTGTATATAAGTTTTCATGCCCACTTTGTTTCAGAAATGATTCTATTTTCATAGCTTATTTCTTATATATTTGTACATTATAACCAACTTTTTCACCTGTTTCCGTTTGGCATTTAATACAGTTATGCTGTATTGTATATCATATATTAGAGTCACGATTCTGTTTTGTTTACTTTTATGACAAATTATTTCATATTTTTAGCAACTTTCTTCAAAAAACAAACATTAAACATGCTC